AATTTAACACATGGGTCAACGAAACCCGCGTCATATCTGTCCGGGCACCGATTTTCAGCATGTCCCACTGTAGACGCATAAAATTAATTAATTGGTTAATTAAATTAGCCAATTAAATTGTGTCTAAATTAAATTATACCTTGTCTTGCAAGACAAGTCATGGGGATAATTATCAATTAATTATTGGCCAATAAGATTATTTCTTCTCTTCCAAGTTATAAGAGATAAATATCAATTTAAAGAGAGCCAATCAAATCGCGCCACGTCATCAAGTAGACTTTAAGTAGGACTCTTATTCTACCACTATAAATAGGGACCCTCCCTACACAATTCAAAACACAACTCAAGAAGAAGAAAAACCGTAGGAGAAAATTCTCTCTACAATATTCAAGTCGTTCTTCAAGATCGAAGGAAGATTGAAGGGCCAAATCCATCAAGAATTCCAAGATCTTCAAGTCGAAACCCGTCAAAGTTCTGCGTTCGATCCGAGATTCAAGTCGCAAGACCCTCGGAAGACGTTATTCAAGTTCAAAATCAAATCCAGAGAAGATCAAGTCAACGACCCGACTCCGAAATTCAAAGTCAACATATATAATCCGGGGAAGATCAAGTCAACGACCCGACTCCGAAATTCAAAGTCAACATATATTGTTCTTGAGAGAACAATCAGAGGATTAAATTAGAGTTTGTAACCCGCAATATATTTTATTTTAATTCAATAAATTATTTTTGTGCAAGTTTTTCTTGTTTGTCTAAATTGCAGATAAGAATTTGTTGCTACAAATTTTGGCATGCCCGGTCCAAGATAAACCCTAATAAAAGAACCAAAACTAGTGACAAATAAAATCAAAACAAAAGATAAAAACAAACGATCAAACCGTCAAGAAATCTGAATAAAACAGAAAAAATAAAAATAAAAATCCGGCTGTAAACACAAGAAAAAAAAGAACCAGCAAAACCCTTGTACGCCTCTCACAAAGAGAGAAAGTCGTCCCTCATTAGAGAAAATCATAAAAAACACGTCATCTAAAATAAATAAATTGACTCATTTGAATTAATAGTACTATTTTATGTCATTGTAAATTATTTAAAACAAGCACTAGTGGTCTAGTGGTAAAATAGTACCCTACCACGGTCGATTACTTGCTTGTGCTTTGGCTATGATGACAAATGTGTTCTTGCAACGGACCCGTCCGTTGCTCTCATTGATCTTGAGATGACAATTTCAGCACTGTTGAGCCTTTGTTTTGTTATTTTTCTTCTTTTTCCTTCATTTTTGTAATTTTCTTTTCCCATCTTTTTTAATAGTCAATTGGTAAATAGGACTCGACAAGGCCACTTAATTAAAAAAACAAAATTCAAATTTATTTTCATATACGAAAAACCATTTTATATATAATTCAAACTTATTTGCAAATATGGAAAACCCTTTTATATATAATTCGCGATTCGCTTGGTATTATCTTCTGAAATGGAGGGAAAAAAATTTCATATCAAATTTTCATCTTAAATTACTTTGATAGCAAAAATAAAATTCGGGGGCTCTGCCCCGAACCTCCCATGTGTTTAAGCCCTCCCTCACAAAAAATTCTGGCCTCGCCACTGCTTGGAACCTGGGGTAAGTCCACTCTCAGTTCAAAAAAAATCACTATATTATGCATATATATTTATTAAGTCCACCAAATTCCAAATTAATTCGAAAAATATTTCATTTTCGAATTAATAGCACTTTGCACCCTTAAAAATACAATAAATCATCCACAATGCATCCTTGATTGAGTAATAGATGACAATTCATTTTCTTATTGCTTTTTTTTTCGGGTGCAAAATAACAAATTAAACTGTTATGTTCTTCAATCTCCAACCTAATTTCGAGCGGACGAAGTGCGACAAGATCAAAATCACACCAGATAATTGAAAATCAATTATATTTTCTTACAAACTAAAATCAAATGAACCTTTGTCACTAAATTATTTGAGTGATAGATCTTTTGTAATTGGTTGAAATATTTGGAAGAACATATAATTTTCAGATAACTTGATAACGAAATAGCTGCAGGATTACTTTTTCGTAAAATATAATTTTTAAATAATACTAAAACTATTAACTTACCTTTATTTGCTTTAAAAAATCATGTGGGTGCA